TCAAAAGCCAATAGGGGGAGTAGCACAGCTCAGGCAAAAGCTGAAAAAAACCATCAAAAAAAGGTCCCAGAATGCCTTTTGAGAGTTCTATGGGGGAAAAAAAGCCCTGCAGATAAGTCTTCAAATATAGAAAAAGAGGACATTTAGGAGGACATTTTCGAGGGAGGACAGAACTCACAAAAGGAGGACTGTCCTCCCAAAAGGAGGACGGTATATGGAAAAGGAGGACATTTAGGAGGACACTTTTTGAGGGAGGACAGAACTCAAAAAAGGAGGACGGTTGGTCACCTTACTAATATTCCTTTAAATAATTCACATAGCTGATAGCATAACAACTATTTCCAATCATCAACCTTAATACTTAATATAATAAAGCTCTAAAACCTCTTCTTATTCTAACATGTTTCAATCCACTGATAAAATTTTCCCCAGGTTTTATAAAAGATTGAATCTTCTTTCTCCTTCATCTCTAACGTTAATCTGTCCATTTCTGCAAAATCTAGGATTTTCAAAATTATAATCTGGTCTGAAGGTAGGTTTTCATTTTTCCAAAATTGGGCAAATGCTATTCTTGCAGCTGTTAATACACGTAATATTAAATAATCATTTGGTTTGCCATAGTTAGGTCTTAATATACCTAAAAGGAACAGTTCCAGATTGAATTCTATCTGTATTTTCATCATCTTTTCTAACCATCTATGAATCTTAGACCAATATTTTTTTGCAATAGAACATTTCCACCAGGCATGATAATAAGTACCTGGTTTTGTTTATATTTCCAACATGTATCCAATAAATTTTCAAACATTTTCGCTAAGCGAACTGGTGTCATATGCCATCTATAAAACATTTTATATAAGTTTTCTTTGTATGTTACTGCTTTAGTAAATTTGATATTTTTATCCCACAGTTTTTGCCCGTCTTCTAATTCTATAGAATATCCAAAGTTCTTCGCCCATACTATCATTGTCTCTTTTACTTGTTCTTCTTCTATCTTCCAATTTAATAAGTATTTATAAAGCTTCTTAATCCAATGTTCATCTGTTTTTAAAAGTATTTTATCAAGTGGAGTCAGCTTTTGTAAAATCCCATTATTTTTATGTCTTTTTCATATCTTGTTTGAATTTGCAAATAGGACCACCATGTTAAGTTAATACCTTGTTGTTGAAGGGCTTGCCTGTCTTTGAGTGTTCTGTCCTTGTCCAAAATGTCTTTATAATTAACAAGTTTATCATAATTAATCAAATTTGGATAAGCAAATGCTTCCATCCTTGAAAGCCACTCAGGAATTTTCATATACATTTTGTGTCTAACTTTCTCCCATTCAGAGAGTAAAACATTTCTTATAGCATGGTTTTGAAAGTACTTATGTATTTTAGCTTTCTCATACCATAAAAAGGCATGCCAGCCTAGTTGAAGGTCATATCCCTCTAAATAGAGAATTCACTTATTTCTCAGAGTAATCCATTCTTTAAGCCAAAGCAAAATAGCTGCTTGATAATAAAATCTCCAATCTGGAAGTCCAAAACCCCTTCTATATTTCAAGTCTTGTAGAAGTTTACATTTAATTCTTGCTTTCTTTCTTTGCCATATAAGTCTTAATATTATTGCATTTAAATCATCAAAAAATTTCTTACCCAGTTTTACAGGAACTGTTTAAAATAAAAAAAAATAGCTTTGGCAAAATGTTCATTTTAACAGTCACTATTCTTCCTAAAAATGATAGTTGGAGATTTTCCCATTTTTCCAAGTCGATTTTATTTGTTTTAATAGTCTCTCACAGTTATCTTCTTTTGGTAATGAATATTTCGCCATAAGATAGATACCTAAATATTTAACTTTTTTAACTATTCAGTTAAGATTTTTCTTTTTGGTGAGTTGAGTTTTCTGTTTATCAGTTAAATTTTTTGTTAACGCTTTAGTTTTTTTTTTCCCTATTTATTTTCAATCCAGCCAAATCTCCAAATTTCTCAATTTTCTGCAAAAGTTTAGGAGCTGTTTCCAAGGTCTCCTCTAAGATAAAGATCAGATCATCCGCGAAAGCCTGTAATTTATATTTCTGGTCTTTAATCTCAAGACCTTTAATTTCTATGTCTTGCCTGATGTTTCTAGTCAATACCTCCAGAGTAAAAATAAATAACGGGTGAGAGTGGACATCCCTGTCTTGTACCCTTTTTAATATCAAAGCTCTCTGTATAATCTCCATTTATAAGTATCCTTGCTGATTGTTTATTGTAGATCACTTGGATTGCTGTAATAAAATTTTCACCAAAGTCCATTTCCTGTAGTTGTTGAAACATAAATTGCCAATTTAAATTATCAAATGCTTTTTGTGCATCAAGAATTATGAGCGCCATCTGGTTCCCTGGATGATTTTCATAATATTCCATAATATTTAAAATAATCTTTAACTTGTTCTTTATCTGTCTTTCAGGAAGAAAGCATTTTGGTCTGTATGCAAGCCATCTACCAGGTTTATTAGCATTTTCAAAAAAGTTCTGTTTGGCTTGTTTAATCTATTGTGCCATAGTCTCAAGTAGATTTAATTTATGTTTTATTAAGTCCATTTGTATCTTCAAATTTTTCTTTTGTGGCTCAGTTTGTAACTCCAGCTCCAATATACCAAGCTGTTTTTTCAATTTGGACTGTGTGATTCTCTTTTCTTTGTTCTTTTAAGCAACATAGGTTATAGCTAAGCCTCTAAAGTATGCTTTTGCCATGTCCCAAACATTTTGAATAGAAGTATCTTCCTTTTTATTAATCTTAAAAAAAATTCCATTTCTTTTGTTGCTAATTGTAAAAATTCTTTTTCCTTCAAAATAGATTTATTCAGAGACCATCTCAATCTTTTCTTAGATCCTTTCCATGTTATTTTAATTGAGTTATGGTCTGCCCAAATATTTGGTTCTGTTTCAACTTCCTGTATCATAGTCTTCAGGTCATGGGAGATCCATATCATGTCTATTCTTGACCAAGATTTATGCCTGTTGGAGTAAAAGATATATTGTGTCTTTCCTGGATTCATCTCTCGCCATATATCCTGCAAACATAGTTCATCTTTCATTTTTAAACAAGATTTAGATAAAACATTACTTCCTTTCTTTCCTTGTTTATGGCTTTTGTAGTCTCGAACTACATGCACAATTGCATTAAAGTCTCCCAAAATACAAAGACTATGATAGTTTAAATCCACAAGTTTGTCATATAGTTGTTGAAAAAATTCCTCTTGTTTCTCATTGGGGGCATATATTCCCACCAACAATATTTGTTTTTGATTCCAGGAAATCTCCACCATTACTATTCTTCCTTCCTCATTAGAATAAATTTCTTTTGTATTCAACTTTTCTTTTATATACATCACTATCCCTCTTTTCTTTTGTAGCGCCAAGGAGAAATAAAGTTTGCCTAGTTTTGGCTGTTCTAAAATTCTAGAGTGTTGTCTCTTAATATGAGTCTCTTGTAGACAAATATAGTAAGATCTTCTACTTTAATTCCATTGAAAAAGAGTTCAAAAGTTTTATAATAAAGCTTAAACCGCCACTTTAGGGGAGGGGGGAATCAATAACCCCTTCTTCCTCCCTTGAGCTTCCAGCTTCAGCTCAAAGGTAGGCAATTAATTTCAAAAGCTCCAGTTTGGCATAAATACTGAGGTTATCTCACCCGGAAAAGTTGCTTGTTCTCAATCAGCTGTCTTCTGTCTCCAATGATCAGCTGGTGATGGCGGTGATCGCAGAAGCACTCTGCCCTTCTTTTGCCGGTTCCAGGGGCGGTTTTGAGTTCAGAGACCTGGCTAACACCGGCTCTCCTTCCTCAAAGGCTCAACCTTTGGTGGTCACCCCGCCAAGGTGGCATTCAGCCCAGATGGGCCCACCAGTGAAAGAATTCCGGACTCTGGGGACGGAGAAACATCTCCAGGGTCTATAGTCAGCTTGTCACCGGTTTTTGGACTGAACCCAAAGTGTCTATTGCTATTGATGTTACCTTTGCTTTCTTTTGCCACAGTCATTCAATTTCTGTTTGCAGGTCTTGTGAAACCTTTTTGTAGCAGCTAACCTGGTGACCCATGGTTCCTTCAGCTTCTTGGCAGAAGCGGCATTTGCTCTCTGTTGCTGACTTCTCACTTCTGGATTTGCAGAGATTTCTTTTTATGGCTTGATCCTGAGCAGCCAGAATTAGTGCCTCTGGCTAATATTGAGGATGATGTTATCCCTTCACTTGTGTCCGAGTCTTGGCGATTCGATGGGCTGGGTCTCTCCACTATGTCTTTGGGTTTTTCTATGCTCTGGCTGGTGTAAGCTTTGATGGCGTCGATCCATTGCAACTGGTCTGTGCTGTCTTCAAACATTAATCCATTGTTCCTTCAGCCTCCTTGGCAAAGATAGCACTTGCTGTCTGTCGTTGTCTTCTCAATTCTGGCTTTGCGAGCATTTATTCCTAAGGCTTGATTTCATGCAGCCAGAATTAGTCCTTCTATCACTTTCCTCAAATTTCCTGTTCTTAGCCATTGCCTGCCTTTGTTATTATCTGCTTTGCCTACTATTTTTTTTTTAATGTACTGACCATTTAGTGCTTTTATTGCCCTGCCTCTTTTCTGTTCTTCATCTGTTATTGTGGGCCAGTGTGGTCTCTCCACTATTCAATAAGTCTTCCTGGTATGTTATTACTATGTTTTTTCAAAGAGAGCCAAAATCAATTAATCGAGTCCTTTCCAACGACCTGGGATAGCAGATGTTGATGTTTGATGGTGCTAAAGGTATTATCGTAGGATGTAAGTTGTTCTGAGTCAAGCTGCCTTTTGCAATTGAGAGACTGCAAATTTGTCAGTGCCAATGTCATTGAAGTGGTGTTTCAGTTATTTTGGAATTGCACTAAGGCACCTACTGCTATTATCATTAGCAGGTCAAAAGGTTGGCCCAGCCTGTACACAAAAGTGTTTAGATATGAAGAATGACAATAATTGATGAATTATTTAATCCAATCTGCTTTTTTTTCCCAAACAGAAATTTCCACACTAAAGGAAGAGATTATTGAAGCATTACAAAAGCATCTCTTGGTGAATTTCAGCCTGGCAAACATGAATGGTACAGCAGATCATTTGAACTATAATTATGGAGGAATTTTCATTGAAGAAAAAATCATTTTCTCTGTTGTATTGATCATCTGCAGTATTGGAGCCCCATTAAATGGAATTGTTATCTGGCTGCTTGGCTTCCAAATTAAGAGAAACCCTTTCACAGTATTGATTCTTAATTTAGCTATTGCCGACTTTGGGTTTCTCATCTTTATGACTATATCTTGTATTAACATTTTTATAGGTTTTATACAGCGAGGAATTCCCCAGAAAATCTTCTATTCTCTCTTCAATGTTACATATATCAACGGTCTGTTTCTTCTGACAGCCATCAGCATTGACCGGTGCGTGGCTGTACTTTTTCCAATCTGGCATCGCTGTTCTCGGCCAAAATATTTGTCCCCTGCTGTCTGCACCTTCCTCTGGATCTTATCTTTCCTCCTGGCTGGAATTAGCAGCAATCTGAATATTGTAATTCTTTCTTATACCATCAAGGATTTCCACTTGGTCATGACTGCTGTGCTTTGCCTTCTGTTGATCACAATCTCTACTGTGATCCTGTTCATCAAAATATGTCTTAAATCAAAACAGCTCAAACATGGAAGAATCTTAGTGATGACTTTTATTACTGTTCTCTGTTTTCTTATTCTTACACTCCCATTTTATATCTATGTGTTCCTTATTTATTTTATTCCGCAGTTGTATTTCATTGGTAGTATTCAATTAGAGCTCTACTTCAGTCTTTTTGCTCCTCTAAACTGCAGCGTTAACCCAGTGATCTATTTTCTGGTTGGGAGAAAGAAAAGCGCTCGCTCTAGGGAGAGCATCAAGGTCATTTTTCAAAGAGTTTTCAGGGAAGATGAAGCTCCTTAAAGTTTATAAACACAATTTCAAACCTTCTGTAAATGCAAAACTTCTGCTGTTCTTTAATGCTGGTTATCTCTTATGAGTGCATAGCTGTATTTCTTGTTATAGAAATGAAATATAATAAAGGATTCTTTCCTCTCCAGGGAAAGTGGCCTCTGTTCCACCTTTAAACCATAATTAACAAGTTAAAATTCATATATGGCTGGAAAAGATGATTAAAATACATATAGAATTTAAGCCAGAATTGTTATTATTATTTTTGTTGACTACAGTTCCTGAATATTATATTAGCCTGCTTGAATACCTATATCCGGAAGATAGTTTGCTTGCTAAAACGTGAAATGTTATTAGGGGTAACCCCTTTGTTGTATCCATCCCTACCCCAAACTCTTCCCTGAACCCTATCCTGATTCCCACCACCCATAACGATCCTTGTCTTTCCCTACCCTGAAAAAACTTAATAAAATATTATAAAGAAAACTAGTATGAAGTTGTACATAACAGTCACAGAATGGAGAAAGAACAAACAACATCAGCTGATCTTTCCTCTGCACCAACTTCTATGTCAGAAACAATTCGGAAGAAGAGGATAAAGGACCCAACACCACACAGTTTAGGAATTGCTAAGCCATAATTGCTCCAGAGGTTTTGCACCTTCTGATGATTCCCTGGGTGTTGATATACCAGGCCATGGGAAGTCAGTGGAAAGATTCTTACAACAGGATTTGAACTCAAGCCCTTTGCTACATGCTCTGAACGAGCATGGCCAGAAAGGCATCCCCAGGAAGAGAGGTTAAGCTTCACCATCCCCATCCTTATATTTCTAATGATCAAAAAGGGGAAATAAATCTTAAAGGGAAAATAGTATCAAAACAAAAGAACAGACTGCACTCTTGTATGACTGTGATCAGCTGGATCCCTTCCTCAGTGGTCAAAGTCCCATTTATCAGCTGAGAAATCCAACTGTCATTGAAGTTTTCCTCTTGGGTTTCCTCCATCAGTTGGCTAATGGTCTATTTAATTATAGCTTCTGAAAAGAAATATGGTCTGGAGAACAATTTTCCCCGTTCCTCTGTTATATAAACAGAGGCATAGACTCAAGATCACGTGAAGTATTGTTACCGCTTTACAAAGCCCTAGAAAGACCACATCTGGAATACTGCAGCCAATTTTGGTCCCCATATCACAAACAAGATCTTGAGAGTTTGGAAAAAAATCAGAGAAGAGCAACTAAGATGGTCAAAAAGAATGGCTACGGGACTTGGGTTTGGCTAGTCTAAAGAAAAAAAGAAATAAGGGAGACAGGATAGCAGTGTTCCAGTATCTGAGGGGCTGCCACAAGACAGAGGGGGTCAGGTTATTCACCAGAGCATCAGAGGGAAGAGACTTTCCAGTCACTTGTCTGAGATGGCATAGGATCTCCCGCTCAAGTAGGGGGCTGGACTAGAAGATCTCCAAGGTCAGTTCCACCTCTATTTTATTCTATTCTTAAAATGTTTTTGTAGTCCTTGAGCTTTCAAGGAAATTTTTTTATTACTTATTTGGACTCAGTCAAATGGGCTGAATGAGAAATCTATTTGATAATAAAATATTTTCCTGGGTGTGTGTGTGTGTATACAGCTAGTCCTTGACTTATAACCATTTGTTTAGTGACCATTCAAAGTTCTATTCTATTCTATTCTATTCTATTCTATTCTATTCTATTCTATTCTATTCTATTCTATTCTGTTCTGTTCTGTTCTATTCTAATTTCTTTATAAGAAGACATGGCATTCCCACAGCACGCCTTCAAAATAAACTATTCCCGATTTGACCTTCCATTTTCTTGTCCTAGCATTAAGTGACTCCATATATACTGTATTAAGTGGCTAATCTTTATCTATACATTTGTGCAAAACATGTTCTGATTCAACCTTGATTCAACAGTGTTTCATTCAGATTCATGGTTGCTGTTGGTAGACGATGCTACAGCTGTTTGGTTTTCTGTTAGTTGAGCCGTTGCAGGAAGAGATTCAATGTATTGGAATTTTTCCTTTTGATAGATTGGAAGAAATCCATATAATCCAATCAGATAGTAATATGTGGGAGAGAAAAAATATAAACCTACAAGAGAAGCAACCTAGAACTAAGGAGAAACTTCCTGACAGTTAGAACAATTAATCAGTGGAACAACCTGCTTCCAGAAGTTGTGAATGCTCCAACACTAGAAGTTTTTAAGAAGAAACTGGATGGCCATTTGTCTGAAATGGTATAGGGTTTCCTACCTGAGCAAGAGGTTGGACTAGATGATCTCCAAGGTCCCTTCCAACTCTATCATTATCATTATCATTATTGATCACTGCACAGTCAGCCAGATGTTCAGATTGGATTTGGCATTTTTGTCTACCTATCTAATCCTTCCCAAGGACTTGGGATAGGCAGATGTGGATGTCTGATGGTATTATATATATCGTCGCAGGATGGAAGCAGTTCCTAACAAGGCTGCCTTTTGCAATTGACTAATGGCAATTTGTCAATGCCAATGGTGTTCAAGCGGTGCTCCAGTTGGTTTAGGATTGCACCCAAGGCCCTTATTACTATTGGTACTACCCTTGCTTGCCTTTGCCAAACTCTTTTCTATTTCTGTTTGTAGGTCTTTGTATTTTGTTATCTTTTCCAGTTCTTTCTCTTCTATTCTGCTGTCTCCAGGCACTGCCACATCCACTATCCAGACATTTTTGTCTTTCTTATTGACAATTGTTAAGTCCGGGATGTTGTTGTTGTTACTATTATTATTATTATTATTATTATTATTAGTAGTAGTAGTAGTAGTAGTATCATCATCATCATCATCATTATCATCCAACAAACAGTTTAAAGCAACATTGCACAGAATCTCAGAAAGAATTTTTAGCTTCTTGTGCCCGAGAGAAACTATACCCATCACTCAAAATGTTATTCTGCAGGAATTTAAGAACTGTTGAACTATTAAAAAACAGAGATTGCAGAGGTTATATTATCAGGCTTTGTAGATAATTGGACCTGTTACATGGATGGGATTTAACTTGATTATCTGATTAATCATGATTTTCTTAAGAAGTCAATAACCACATCTTGGTGTCACATAGTGCTACATTCTGATTAGGCAAAGCACAACTCTGCGTGTTTTTAGACTTTCTTTTCCATGCCAAAAGAGAAAATGTCCCACATTTTGATTGATTCTCACCTGCTATGCTAGCACTGAACCCTGTTCCTTTTATAAAAACACCTCTGAAGTTTTCTGTTCGGTCTCTCCTTCCACATGTATCAAATTCTACAGGCAATTCTTTGAACATTGTCACTCATGATGAGCGTCCTTCTTGACAAGGAACAGTTTGAACTTCATCTAAATAAGTATCACATTTTTTCGGCAGATTTGGTATAGCCAATCACTTCAGCCAGTGGTGGGATTCAGCTGGTTCACACCGGTTCACTAGAACCGGTAGCTAATTTTTTGTTGACTTTGGCGAACTGACTGATGCCTTACACCCTTTTCACAAGGCTCAGACGGACTGCTGGAAGTGCATGGATGCCACTTCCGAAAATCCGTTCTGAGCTGGGGAGGTCTCCCAGGCCCAGAACCATTGGTGGTGGGAATGGTGGACCATTCTGGGTCACGGAGAACTCCCAGGCCCAGAATGGCCCTCTGGAAGCACATCCATGCGACTTCTGGTGGACCGGGAGTGGACTTTCCTTCTTGTCAATGAACTGTCTGAACTTCATCTAAATAAAACTGTATTACATTTTTTTCTACAGGTCTGCCATTGCCAATCAATTCAACCTTCATTATCAGGACAATAATCTTCCCCTCTCCAACTTTGAAGAACTTGTTCCATTACTTTCCGATGTGTCACAATTTTGAACACTTCATGCAAATATAATAACCAACATTTTTTAGTAGCTATGTATTTCTCTATTTGATATTTCATATGAAAATATTCCATATTTATATCCTGATAATCCCATAAGTCTCAACTGATTTTTTTTCTGGTTTTAGACCTTTTTTCAACCTCTAGGAGGAAGATCAGAGATTTAGGAGCAGATGTCCCTGATTAATCTTCTCAGATGAGAAGACCAATCCAATTGAAATAAACTAGATTTTTCCTTTTTGTAAGAGCTGCCTACATTTTGGGCGGTCCCCTCCTTCTATGGCTGGTGAATATCCTGCAAAAACAGGAACCAAATCTTCTTATCACTAGATGTTCACACTGATTAGACAAGACACAGAATATATCTAGTTGTGTGAGACTTTTAGCAAGATCTGCTTCATCGTTCCAGAACAGAAAGTATATTTTCTTCGAAAGATCTGCTTATGATCACCTGCTACTCAGATATTTAATCCTGTGAATTGTCCAACAACACATTTGCGGGTTCTCCCGGGGGTATGTCAAATTTTAGACATTGTAAGAAAAACTTGTTCTGAGTCAAGCTGCTTTTTGCAATTGAGAGATTGGAAATTTGTCAGTGCCAAGGTCATTGAAGTGGTGTTTCAGTTATTTTGGAATTGCACTAAGGCACCTATTGCTATTATCATTAGCAGAAGTCAAAAGGTTGGCCCAGCCTGTACACAAAAGTGTTTAGATATGAAGAATGACAATAATTGATGAATTATTTAATCCAATCTGTTTTTTTTTTCCCAAACAGAAATTTCCACTCTAAAGGAAGAGATTATTGAAGCCTGGCAAAGATGAATGGTACAGCAGATTATTTGAACTATAATTATAGCAGAATTTTCCATGAAGAAAAAACTATCATTTTCTCTGTTGTATTGATCATCTGCAGTATTGGAGCCCCATTAAATGGAATTGTTATCTGGCTGCTTGGCTTCCAAATTAAGAGAAACCCTTTCACAGTATTGATTCTTAATTTAGCTATTGCCGACTTTGGGTTTCTCATCTTTATGACTATATTGTGTATTGACATTTTTATAGGTTTTATACAGTCAGAAACTCTCCAGATTATCTTCTGTTCTCTCTTAAATGTTACATATATGAACGGTCTGTTTCTTCTGACAGCCATCAGCATTGACCGGTGCGTGGCTGTCCTTTTCCCAATCTGGCATCGCTGTTCCCGGCCAAAATATTTGTCCCCTGCTGTCTGCACCTTCCTCTGGATCTTCTCTTTCCTCCTGACTGGAATTAGCGGCAATTGGAATATTTTAATTGTTTCTTATATCCCTTATGATATCTGCTTGATCGTGACTGCTGTGCTTTGCTTTCTGTTGATCACAATCTCTACTGTGATCCTATTCATCAAAATATGTCTTAAATCAAAACAGCTCAAACGTGGAAGAATCTTAGTGATGACTTTAATTACTCTTCTTTGTTTTCTTATTCTTGCATTCCCATTTTATATCTATGTGTTAGTTATTCATTTTATTCGGAAGTGGTATTTGCTTGATAGTATTCAATTAGCGCTCATCTTTAGTCTTTCTGCTCCTCTAAACAGCAGCGTTAACCCAGTGATCTATTTTCTGGTTGGGAGAAAGAAAAAAGCTCGCTCTAGGGAGAGCATCAAGGTCATTTTTCAAAGAGTCTTCAGAGAAGATGAAGCTCCTGAAATCTGATAAAAGTTTATAAACACAATTTCAAACTCTCTGTAAATGCAAAACTTCTGCTGTTCTTTAATGCTGGTTATCTCTTATGAGTGCATAGCTGTATTTCTTGTTATAGAAATGAAGTATAATAAAGGATTCTTTCCTCTCCAGAGGAAGTGGCCTCTGTTCCAGCTTTAAACCATAATTAACAAGTTAAAATTCATATATGGCTGGAAAAGATGATTAAAATACATATAGAATTTAAGCCAGAATTGTTATTATTATTCTTGTTGACTACAGTTCCTGAATATTATATTAGCCCGCTTGAATACCTGTATCCGGAAGATAGTTTGCTTGCTAAAACGTGAAATGTTATTGGGGATAACCCCATTGTTGTATCCATCCCTACCCCAAACTCTTCCCTGAACCCTATCCCGATTCCCACCACCAATAACAATCCTTGTCTTTCCCTACCCTGAAAAAACTTAATAAAATATTCGAAAGAAAACTAATATGAAGTTGTACATAATAGTCACAGAATGGAGAAAGAACAAATGACACCAGGTGATCTTTCCTCTGCACCAACCTCTATGTCAGAAACAATTCGGAAGAAGGGGATAAGCAACCCAACACCACACAGTTTAGGAATTGCTAAACCATAATTGCTCCAGAGGCTTTGCACCTTCTGATGATTCCCTGGGTGTTGTTATACCAGGCCATGGGAAGTCAGTGGAAGGATTCTGACAACAGGATTTGAACTCAAGCCCTTTGCTACGTGCTCTGAAGGAGCATGGCCAGAAAGGCATCCCCAGGAAGAGAGGTTAAGTTTCACCATCCCCATCCTTATATTTCTAATGACCAAAGAGGGGAAATAAACCTTAAAGGGAAAATAGTATCAAAACAAAAGAACAGACTGCACACTTGAATGACTGTGATCAGCTGGATCCCTTCCTCAGTGGTCAAAGTCCCATTTATCAGCTGAGAAATCTAACTATCAGTGAAGTTTTCCTCTTGGGTCTCCTCCATCAATTGGCTAATGGTCTACCTAATTATAGCTTCTGAAAAGAAATATGGTCTGGAGAACAATTTTCCCCGTTCCTCTGTTATATAAACAGAGGCATAGACTCAAGATCACGTGAAGTATTGTTACTGCTTTACAAAGCCCTAGTAAGACCACATCTGGAATACTGCAGCCAATTTTGGTCCCCATATCACAAACAAGATCTTGAGAGTTTGGAAAAAAATCAGAGAAGAGCAACTCAGATGGTCAAGAAGAATGGCTATGGGACTTGGGTTTGGCTAGTCTAAAGAAAAAAAGAAATAAGGGAGACAGGATAGCAGTGTTCCAGTATCTGAGAGGCTGCCACAAGACAGAGGGGGTCAGGTTGTTCAACAGAGCTCCAGAGGGAAGGATGAGAAACAGTGGTTGGAAACTGGTCAAGGAGAGAAGCAACCTGGAATTAAGGAGAAACTTCCTGACAGTGAGGACAATCAACCAGTGGAAAAGAAGTTGTCTTCAGAAACCATGGGCGCTCCATCACTGGAGATTTTTAAGGAGAGACTAGACAATCACCTGTCTGAGATTGTATAGGATCTCCTGCTCAAGCCAGTGCTGGACCAGAAGACCTCCAAGGTCCCTTCCAACTCTATTTTATTCTATTCTTAAAATCTTTTTATAGTCCTTGAGCTGTCAAAGAAACTTTTTAATTTACTTGTTTGGGCTCATTCAAATGGTCTGTATGAGAAATCTATTTGATAATAAAATATTTGCCTGTGTGTGTGTATACACAGCTAGTCCTTGACTTATAACCATTTGTTTAGTGACCATTCAAAGTTCTATTATATTTGACTTTTCATTTTCGTACCGTAACATTAAGTGACTCCATATATACTGTATTAAGTGGTTTAATCGTCATCTCTAGATTTGTGCAAAACCTTTTCTGATTCAACCTTGATTCAACAATGTTTCATTCAGATTCATGGATGCTGTTGGTTAAAGGTGCTGCAATCGTTTGGTAACAGCTGTTTGTTTTCCTGTTAGTTGAGCCGTTGCATGAAGAGATTCAATGTATTGGAATTTTTCCTTTTGATAGATTGGAAGAAATCCATCCCCGTCTCAGAACGGACTTCCAAAAGTGGCATCCATGCACTTCTTGCAGTCCATCTGAGCCTTGTGAAAAGGGGGTAAGGCATCATGCAGTTCATTGAAGTCAACAAAAAATTAGCTACCGGTTCTACTGAACCTGTGCGAACTGGTTGAATCCCACCACTGGTTGAAGTGATTGACTATACCAAATCTGTCGAGAAAATGTGATACTTATTTAGATGAAGTTCAGACTGTTCATTGACAAGAAGGAAAGCCCACTCACCCATCATGAGTGACAATGTTCAAAGAGTTACCTGTAGAATTTGATAGACGTGGAAGTTACAGACCAAACAGAAAACTTCAGAACTGCTGAGCAGAAGTGCATGGATGCCATTTTTGGAAGTCCATTCTGAGCCAGGGAGGTCTCCAAGGTCCAGAATGGCCCTCTTGAAGTGCATCCATGACATTTCTGGTGGACCGGAAGTGGTCTTTCTTTCTTGTCAATGAACTGTCTGAACTTCATCTAAATAAAACTTTATCGTATTTTTTCTACAGGTCTGCCATTGCCAATCAATTCAACCTTCAATATCAGGATAATAATCTTCCACTCTCCAACTTTGAAGAGCTTGGTTGATTACTTTCCAATGTGTCATAATTTTGGAAGAATTAATCTGTCCCAGGGAAATGCAAGTATAATAACAAATGTTATTTTAGTAGCTATGTATTTCTGTATTTGATATTTCATATTAAAATATTCCATATTTATATCCTGATAATCCCATAAGTCTCAATTGAATTTTTTTCTGGTTTTAGCCCTTTTTTCAACCTTTAGGACAAAGATCAGAGACAAATCCCCAGGCTATAATATCAGTGAATGCTATGTCTGAAATGTGTGAGGATCAAAACTGTCATATTTTATTTTAGAAAATGTATCCTGTACATATTTATTTTTCTGCTCTTTCCTTTTATTATGTATACAAATTTGTATGTTTTTAGCGAAGCTGTATATTCTTCTATCAAGTGCTTTAGGGACAAAATCTTTGCAATTATATAGGAAATAAACATACATAAAATGAGAAAAGTTAAATTTAAAAAAAAACATGCATTAATGTTATGATATAAAGAAGAATTGTATGATGTCAGACATATCATTTGATGTTATGAAATAACGAATTACATGAAGTGAGATGTAATTTCATGTGATGAAATAAAAAGATTTATGAAGTCAGACACTTTCTGTACAAACATTTCACTTTGAAAATTATGAATATGGCAATATTTCCTTTTTATATTGTTTGGCGTTAGCTACTTTGTTTGATAAATTTGTTTTTTATCGAATGCACATATTATTTATGGCTATCAAACGTGAATTACAGTGATAGTAAGACTTCACGAAAGTTCTTCCTTTGCAGCTTGCTGTTCCTCCAGGCTGCCTTGCTGCTCATTGTTGAAGACTCTTTGAAGAGCCACCTTTAAGGATGTTCTGGGCTGACTCTTTCCCCTCTGCTTCCTCCCCACTAAGAAATAAAGGAGTGGGTTGATGCTGCTCTTGAGAGTAGCACTTCCTCGTCCAATTGTCAAGAGGACAGGATGAGGGAAACTGAAATAATAAATGACATATGAGGCATACCTTGGGAGAGAAAAAAGGAGGAAGAAGAGGAGAGCCAGCAAGATGGTGGTGAGGAACTTCCTTTGATTGCGTTGCGATTTAGACCTCATGTGAATCCAGAGGGTCACAATAGACAAAACCATGAGAGGTAACAAAATAAACCATTCAGAATCAGCTGATGAAGGAAAGGTGATCTTCCAGAGCTTCTGGTCTGGAGGAGAATGAAGTGCACTGCAGAAGGTAAGAAGGAGAGGATCCAGATGGGGCCACAAACAAGAGTGGAGAGATATGGAGGATGATGGCAGTGATGCCAGAGTGGGAAGAGGAGAGCCACACACCTGTCCAGGCTGATGGCCGTCATCAGAAACTGGCTAGCAGAATAGGTGAAGGAAAAGAGCTCAAAAAACAAGAAGAAAAAGGTTTGGACTATGTAAGCTCCTTTATAAAAAGTTGACACCCCCACAAATATAGCTGCCATAATGAGGGATGTGAGGAACCCAAAATCAGCCATGGAGAGATTCAGGATTTAAATGGGGAAAGAATTCCTCTTAATGGAAAAGGCCAGGAGATAAATGGTCTTTCCATATTGTACCAGGCCCAAAATGCAAATAAGAGCAATGAAACCATTGATAAGATTTCGTGTTCAATTATCAACCAGCTGATTCTCTAGAGAAGACGTTTCTGGTATTTTAGAAGTATTTAGAGCACTTTCCATATTTTCGATAATACGGAAAAAAAATGTTGACCTTTTCTGGATCACTCCTTGAAAGTTCAGGAGTATCCAAAATAGTTTGGGGATGCACCCTGCTTTAAAAAAAAAAAAAAGAAAAGAGAATCAGCTCTCTTACACACATAGTCACACACACATACACACACAAACTTATTTTTCACTACCACATATCATATGAACACATATGTATTTTTTTCATCATCTGATGGAAATTACATCCCTAAAATCAATGCTATTATGAGGCTGGAGAATTGCTGTACTTAGTAGAGACCCAAAATCTTCAAGATGCATTTCAGTAAAATTGCCAGCAATTCCTATTATTAGAATTATCAGGTATCAGGCATTTGTTTAACAACCGTCACAAATCAGATAGTAAAATTGGGCCACTTCATGTTATGACCTATCCCAAAGATGCTTTTTCATGAGGCAACTGGACTTTCTTGTTTTGTTTTTTTTGTTTGAAGATGTTTCGCTTCTCATTCAAGAAGCTTCTTCAGCTCTGACCTGTTATGTTATGACCTACTTATTGAGCAGTGCGACGCTCAAATGAATAGTACCTGCAACAATTCAGCATAGATTTGATGTAAAAGTACTTTGAAAAGAGTCAACTGGAAAAGGAAAGATTGCAGTGTTATTTTTTGCTCTTTCTGTTAGCTGTTCTAGCAAGGGTGATCCCTGTAGTAGACAGGACATTCCTTAATCACTCACAACTTCTGCCTCTAGAACTGTTCATGAGTCTGACAAGGGGTTGAACTAAATTATTTGTAATAAATAAACAGGTTGCCCCTACTGGCTTGTAGTCAGGGACCAGATCATATAGACTGGAAGCTAAAACATGTGAAGAGCAGTTGCTGGAATTGGGTTTCTCTAGTTTAATGAAAAGAAGGACTAGGGGTGACATGATAGCAGACTTCCAATATCTCAGCAGCTGTCACAAAGAAGAGGGAGTCAAGCTATTCTCTAAAGCGCCTGAAGGCAGGACAAGAAGCAACAGATGGAAAGTAACCAAGGAGAGAAGCAACCTAGAACTAAGAAGAAATTTCCTGACAGTGAGAACAAATAACCAGTGGAACAGCTTATCTCCATAATTTGTGAATGCTCCAACAGTGGAAGTTTTTAAGAAGAGATTGGACAACCATTTCTATGAAATCATATAGGGCTTCCTGTCTGAGCAGGGGCTTTGATTAGAAGACCTCCAAGGTCCCTTAAACTCTGTTATTCTGTTCTGCTCTACTCTACTCTACTCTACTCTACTCTACTCTACTCTACTCTACTCTACTCTACTCTACTCTATTCTATTCTATTCTATTCTATCCATTCTTAGATGCTTCTATGATTTTCTTGGGTTTTTATGCCCAGATCTTGAGGAATTCCTCTTTTTCTTGGAATCAAGGCCCATT